TTTAAGACAGAATCTCACTCTGTCGCCAGGCTGCAGTGCAGTGGCGTGATCTTGGCTCACTGCAACCTCTGCCTCCCGGGTTCAGGTGACACTCCTGCTTCAGATTCCCAAGTAGCTGCGATCACAGGTGTGTGCCACCATGCCCAAATAATTTTTGTATTTTTAGTAGAGATGGGGTTTCACTGTGTTGGCCAGGATGGTCTCGATCTCTTGACCGTGTGATCCGCCTGCCTTGGCCTCCTAAAGTTTGGGGATTACAGGCGTAAGCCAACACGCCCAGCCCGGTGATAACAGTACTGGGCGCCCAGCCCAGTACTTTCATCTTTATACTGAATCTAGTAAAAACCAAAAAAAAAAAAAAAAGAAAGAAAGAAAGAAAAAAGAAAAACCAAATTAATCAGAATAGTCATAACAGAACTCATTTCTACTTGGAAAAAAAACTTTTTTTTTTTTTTAAGACAGGGTCTCACTCTGTCACCCAGGCTGGAGTGCAGAAGTGGAATCACAGTTCACACAGCCTTGACCTCCCCGGCTCAACTGATCCTCCCACCTCAGCCTCTCAAGAAGCTGGGACTACAGAGGCATCTCACCATACTAGGTTAATTTTTTAATTTTTCTGTAGAGATGAGATAATATTATGTTGTCCAGGCTGGTCTTGAACTCCTGGGCTCAAGCAGTCCTCCCATCTCCACCTCCCAAAGTGCTGGATTACAAGCATGAGTCACCATGCCCAGCAGAAATGATTTTTTTTTTTTCTGTATCATGTTCATAAAGCTTAAATCAGCATTTATTTTAGTTTGTTTTTTGAGATGAAGTTTCTCTCTTGTCACCCAGGCTGGAGTACAACCTCCGCCTCCTGGGTTCAAGTGATTCTCCTGCCTCAGCCTCCTGAAAAGCGCCCGCTACAATGCCTGGCTAATTTTTGTATTTTTAGTAGAGATGGGGTTTCGCCATGTTGGCCAAGCTGGTCTCTAACTCCTGACCTAAAGTAATTTGCCTACCTGAGCCTCCCAAAGTGCTGGGATTACAGGCGTGAGCCACGGCACCCGGACTAGGAATAATTTTTTTAAATGATTTTTCAGCCAATAGAAAGACTGGCTATGAAAAAAGCACTGGACTAAAGTATTTTTCTTTTTCCAGGATGGAGTGCAGGGGTGTGATTACAGCTCACTGCAATCTCTGGCTCCCCAGGCTCAAGTGATTTTCCTATCTCAGCCTCTTAAGAAGCTGGGACTACAGGCATGTACCACCAAACCTGGCTAATCTTTGTATTTTTTGTAGAGATGGGGTTTCGAAATGTTGCCCAGGCTGGTATCGAATTCCTGAGCTCATCCGATCCACCCATCTCAGCCTCCCAAAGTGCTGATATTATAGGCATGAGCCCCCTCGTCCATCCCTAAAGTATTTCAAACACTCTTTGATCAACTCCTCCCCCTCCCCCTCCTCTTCAGCAATCCATAATCTCCAACCCTTCCAGCTCTCTCACTCAATTTGTGCTTTTGCCCTCACGAAATCCAAGCCCCCATTTTTACTCCAGCTCTCCTCTTCCAGTTTCACCCCCTCTCCATCCAGCTTAGACCCTCCCTATGTATAGTAAGTCTAACCATGCGCCTCACTTCAACTCTCACGCTGCAGCGCCATGCTCCTCACCTCCTGGTCCGCAGCAACCACAGCCGCGAAGTCCCAGCCTTCTCTGCCAATTCCCCCTAAGCTGTTCAATGTTGCCAAGAACAATCATACAACTATGTATGGCACCACGACAAATTTCAAGTTTCCGATTTCAGCTGCGACCTCAGCTCTGGCATCTGATGATTTCCTTACTGCCAAGTCCCTCTCTTCCCAGTCCTCACCTTCCCACCCCATCTGGCACTGCTCTCCAATACCTCCTTCTCAAAACCCTTCATTTCCGAGGTTGCAAATTGGCAGCCTGGAGATCCTGCTATGTTACGTTTGGCTCTCGAAGAGTTTGGCTTTTCCTGTTCATTTTCCTTAGTTGCCAGTACTGAAAACTCAGTAGGTTTCTGGCTTTCTCTTAAAAAACGAAGATGTGACAATATCCCTTCACCCGCCCACACTGCCTACCTGGGTGCATGAAAGCTTTGGGCTACCCCTCAACCCCATCCCCACCCTCGCTTTCTTCCCAATTTTCATGCCTTCCAAATAAGTTCTCTTTCTTGGTATCCTTGGATTGCAACTCTTCCTCCACCCACCTGTTAAATCCTGGTGTTCCCAAGCTTCCCTCCGTAGAGGCTTTCCATTCCCACTATGTAGCCCTTACACGCTGAAGTCTCCAGTCAGGATAAAAAGTTGGCAATCCTTTATCTGTCCCCCACAACATGTTAAGTGTTTTTGGACCGAAAATGCAAAGATCTGGAACTCCATGCTTCCCACCTCTCTCCCGGCCTTCCCGGGGTCCTCCAGCATCTGTCATCCCATCCTCTAGAGAGTCCCCAGGGCCTGGGCACCGGGCAAACCCTTAGTGCAGTCAGGGTTTCCTGGCTGGGGGCCAAGAGTGGCCACGGACCCGCACACGCTGCCCAGGCGGCGACGTGGCGCCCCTACAGATTTCCCCGCAACTGGGGACACGCACACCCAGAGCCACCGGAGGGACAGGTGGTCAGGCGGACTCGGGTCACACCGGCGGACGCTGGGCCACTCACCTGGGCCAGGGCGGGGCAGTTCACCTGGCCGGGGCGGGGCCGCAGGCGGGCGGGGCGGGGCCGCACCTGAGCTGCTCCAACCCGCGGCCGACGCGGCCGACGCGGCCTCGCTCCGCTGCAGCTGCTGACGCGGAGCCCGCGGCCGCCCGAGCGCCCAGAGCCCCGCCCCCGGCCCTCGGGCACTTCCGGGACCACTCTAGGCCGCGCGGAGGTCTCGGCGTCTCGGTGGTCCTACCGTGCCGGGTGTTGCTGCGCGTAGCCTCCCGGGCCCCTGGACACGAGGACCCGAGTCAGGGGAGTCTGTCAGGTCGGCGTGGTGGCTCTGGCCGTCCCCGAGGCGCGTGCTGGCCGTGAGGGAAACGGGTGGGCAGGCGTTGGCAGGAGAGCAGAGGAGGAAACAGATCGGGACGGGCGGGCGGACCTGGAGCCGCCGGCACTCCGGGCACCTGCGCTGGGTGCAAGCCAGAAGCCACTGAGGCGGTCGGGGTCTTCAGGGGAATAGGAGTGGAGCCCCAGAGCTGTCGACCCTGTCACTCCACACAGGCCCCAGGGTCCTTTAGGATCCCCTTCCCTCAACCTGCTTCAAGGGTAGCCCTGGCCTGCCTGCCCTCCTCGCCCCCACAGAAAGAGATGAGAAGGAGGAGCCGGCGAAGACCCAAGAGTGTTTTCGGGACCATCCCAGGACCCTGAGCCCCCCAACTGTGTGCATCCTAGGGCTGACTTCCACATGAAGCACCTCTCTGGAGCACCGGGAGGGAAGAGGAATGCGTTCTTGAAATCTCCGCCCCGTCCTTGCTGCTGATGGCAAGACTCGCCCCTCCACCGAATGTTCCGCCCGTGCCCACCGCCCCCCCCACCATCCCCGGCTCAGGTGCAGCTGCCCAGCTTGTGGGAGAGCCTCCCTCCGCAGACCTCGGCCCAGTCACAGGACATCAGGAGAACACATTGTCCCTGGGGAAACGGACTCTGCCCCAGCCATCTACCCACCCGCCTTCAGCACCCTCAGCCCTGGCACTCGAGTGCCCCCCATGCTACCCACACACACCTGCCTTCCTGCCCCATCAATGCCATGGAGTTGGGCCTTGGGCACAGACTCCAAGGGGTAGGCAGTGGCTGCTGCTCCCCAAGTCAACAGCCTGAGCTCTATGGGGACCAGCCACCCTAGACCCCTGAGCCTTGGACCACAACCAGCTGTGCAGAGCTGGGGGAGGCAAGGCCTGGTTCCTTTTTCTCCTTCCAGCTCCTCAGGTCACATAAAGGTCAGGCCACCAGTTAGTGTCCCCAGGGGGCTGGGGGGAGTCTGGGCCATGCCCCAAGGGTCTCAGGTGCTTCCTCTTTGACAACAGTCCCCAGAATCCCCATTCTCCCCAACACTGCACCCCCCGCACCCCAGGAGTGGGTCTTTGACTCCCAGACCCACCACAGTCCCTTTTTTCAGCCGGGAGCTCATGGCCCTCACAATAGCTGTTGCTGACATGTTGAATGTTATTAACCCATTTTACAGAGGGGAAGCAAGGCTCGCAGAAAGTTAAAAAGGGGCCCAAGGTCAGGGACAGAAATGGGAGGCAGATGGGAGGCACTCATCTCACACCCCACCCCTAGGGACCAGAGCCGTAGCCAACAGAGCAGTAGTAATCTGCGTCATCCTCAGGCTGCACAGGGCTGATGGTGAGGACACAGGCATTGTGGGCTTCATCCTTGGCTGCTGAGAATCGGTCAGGGATGTCAGCGGACCGGTGGTGATCCTCCTCTGAGCGGTAGTAGAGGAGATATCGAGGGGCACTGCCTGCCCGCTGCTGGTACCAGGACACACCGTAGTCCTTGATGGTGACGTGCTGGGGGCTGAGCGTGCAGGAGAGTTGAGCCACTTGGCCCGGGAAGACCAGCAGTGCATCTGGCTGGGCTAGGACTGGCCGGGAGGCTGAGAGACACAAACCCACTCAGGCCCAGCCTGAGCCCCTTCCCTCCCACCCCTGCCCTATGAAGGGTTGGCTGGACTCCAAGGAGATTCTCCCAAAGGGCTCATAGCCCAGTACCATGGGATTAGCAATGAACTGGGTGCAGGAGACCTAGCTCTGTGTGACTTAGGGTGCCCTCTCTGGGCCTCCACCTGCCTTTTTGAGTAAGGGGTTTGGATTTAGCAGCCCCCAAGTCCCCATTAGTGCCACATCCCCAAAGATCCATGTTCGGTTAAAGGCCCAGAGCTGAGGGTTGGACTAGCAACCTCTAGGTCCCTCTGCTACCTACCCATGTTTCTCTGTAGAATTGCACTCCACCTCCCCCCTCACCTCCTTCACTCCAGCTCTTCCAAACCCTGAACACAGACTAACCAGCCCTAGGAACCTCCTGGGCTGTCCCACGTATCAACGCAGCCTCAGGCAACTGGCTGCAAGGACCTTCTCAGGGAGGTTAGATTGCCTCAGGCCCTGTGGGGCAGGGAGCAGCCCACAATAGCTCCCCCTGTGAAAAACTAAGAAGGAGACCCCAAAGTCAGAGTCCGGGGCTCTAGTGGTCTGGTTGTTCACAAATGGGAAAACCAAGGCCCACACAGGGAAGTGATTTGCCCCAGGTCAAGGGCAGAGCTGCCTGAAACCAGGTCTCCCCTCTACCTTAATATCCCTCCCAGGACCTGCGCTACTATCCCCATTGATTTGCCTCCATGAAGGGGCCTTCTGGGGCCAGTATGGTTCCCCACCCCACACCCAGGTGAGTGAGGCCCAGGGAGGATTCACCTGATATGAAGGTCCCCATCAGAAGGAGGCTGAGGCACCAGCAGGCCATGGCCAGAGGCAGGGAGGCAGGCAAGGAGAAGTTCTGCAAAGCTATATGCTCCAGGTGCTTTGGGGTACAGGGCTGGGAAGGCCACTGGACCACAACAGAGCATGCAAATCAGCCTATTGACTGAGGAAGGAGGGGCGGAACTGGGGCCAATGGCTAGGCCCTGTCTTCCCAAATATCAGGGTCCTGGCTCCACAAGGCCATCTGAGAACAGGAGCCCAGAAGTCTTCACATGCAGTTACAGCAGGTAGAAACCTACATTTTTATTGAGGTACAACTAGCATACAGTAAAGTACATAAATCTTAAGTGTATAGCTTGGTGATTTTATGTATATGTATGTATACCCCTGCGCGTGCGGGCACACACACACAGACCTCTGCAACCTCCACCCAGATCAAGATTTAGAACATCTTGGCTGAGCTCAGTGGCTTACGCCTGTAATCCCAACACTTTGGGAGGCCAAGGCAGGTGGATCACCTGTCAGGAGTTCGAGACGAGCCTGGCCAACATGATGAAACCCCATCTCTCCTAAAAATACAAAAATTAGCCGAGGCTGGTGATGTGTGCCTGTAATCCCAACTACTGGAGAGGCTAAGTCAGGAGAATCACTTGAACCCAGGAGGCAGAGGTTGCAGTGAGCCAATATTTCACCACTGCACTCCAGCTTGGGTGACAGAGCGAGACTCCACCTCAAAAAAAAAAAAAAAAAAAAAAAAAAAAAAAAAAAACCCACCCAAAAAAAAAAAAAAAAAAAGAAAAAAAAAGAACGTCTCCATCTCCCCTGAGGCCCTCTCAGTTAATAATGATCTGCACCCTCAAGGGAATCATCACTTTGACTTCTATCACGTCAATTAGTTTTTGCCTGCTCTAGAACTTCAACTGTAAGTGGAATGGATGATGTGTCCTCTTCTGTGCCTGTTTCTTTTGCTGAACATTATGAGAGTGATCCATGTGTGTGCAGCAATATTTCATTCATGGCCATAGCTGTGTGTAATCCATTGTGTGAATGCACCATAATCAGTTTCTCCATTCTCCTATCATTAGACATTTGGATGCTCTCCAGTCTTTGGCCATTACAAATAAAACTTCTGTGAACGTCTCTGTCAATGTCTTTCGGTCTATTTGAACACACATTTGTGCTGGATAGACACCCAGGAATGGAGCTGCCGGATGGCAAGGAAAGAATACGTTTAGCTTTACTAGGTCTGCCAGAGTTCCCCATGTGTTAGTACCAATCTACGCTTCCACCGGCAGATGAAGAGAGTTTACAGTGACTTCGCATCCTCACCGGGACTTGACATTGTCACAGCCTTTTTAATTTGCCAGGATTCCAAGTAGCTGAGGTGGTTTTGAACTTGGGTTTGAATCCCAGCCCCTGCTCTTCTTAACTGCATGACTTCAGCCAAGTTACTTCCCCCAACTGTGCCTCGGTTTTCTTATTTGGAACTTGAAGTTAAGCACAGTCGGCCTGAGGATTGTGAAAATGCAAAGATGAGACCTGTTTGCTCAGTGCTGGCCACAGGGAGTGGATTAACCATGTCATTTATTTTCTGTATTCCAATGCTCTGTAATCTGGGGCCTTGTTGACCATTGAGGGACTCACCCTCCCAGGGTTACCTAGTCCCTATAGATAGTAAATAACTCTTTTTTTTTTTTTTTGAGACAGAGTCTCTCTTGTCGCCCAGCCTGGAGTGCAATGGCACCGTCTCCAGTCACTGCAACCTCTGCCTCCTAAATTCAAGCAATTTTCCTGCCTCAGCCTCCCAAGTAGCTGGGATTACACGTACGTGCCACCATGCCTGGCTAATTCTTTTTCTATTTTTAGTAGAGATGGGATTTCACCATGTTGACTGAGCTGGTCTCCATCTCCTGATGTCAAATGATCCACCAGACTCAGCCTTCCAAAGTGCTAGGATGAAAGCATGAACCATCTCATCCAGCCATGATAGTAAATAACTCTTCTGAAAGCATGCTTTTTTTGTTTGTTTTTTTTTTAAATGGAGGAGTCGCATTCTGTCGTTCAGGCTGGAGTGCAGTGGCGCAATCTTGGCTCACTGCAACCTCTGCCTCCCAAGTTCAAGCGATTCTCCTGCCTCAAACTCCTGAGTATCTGGGACTACAGGTGCGTGCCACCATGCCTGGTTAATTTTTTGTGTTTTTGGTAGAGATGGGGTTTCACTGTGTTAGCCAGGATGGTCTCCATCTCCTGACATCGTGATCTGCTTGTCTTGGCCTCCCAAAGTGCTGAGATTACAGGCGTGAACCACCACCCACCGCAACTGACCAGCAAAAGCATGCTTTTCAAATGCAAGTCAACTAATCCCAAACCCCTGAACCCCATTCTTTAATCTGCTCTTATACTCCACCTGCCCTAATCTCTCCAGGGCCATGCACCAGACAACTAGGGGCAGCCTGTGCCCCAGAATCCACTTTAATTACTCAGTCCTAATCCTGGCCTGCCCAGCCTTGGAAACCACAATAGAGGCCCTCGCCCACTGTTCCTCCCTCTCCCTCTGCCTGCCCATCAACTGTGGTGCTTCCTGTGTGGCCCACCTTGGTGTACTCCCTTTTTTGGGGAAATTTGAGTAACAAACTATCTTTTCTTTTCTTTTTTTTTTTTTTTTTGAGACAGTTTCGCTCTGTTGCCCAGGCTAGAGTACAGTGGCACGATCTCAGCTCACTGCAACCTCCGCCTCCTGGGTTCAAGCAATTTTCCTGTCTCAGCCTCCTGACTACCTAGGATTACAGGTGCCCACCACCATGCCCAGCTAACTTTTTTGTATTTTTAGTAAAGATGAGGTTTCACCATGTTGGTCAGGCTGGTCTCAAAGTTCTGACCTCTGGGGATCCACCTGCCTCGGTGTCCCTAACTGCTGGGATTACAGATGTCAGCCACCATCCGGCCACAAACTATCTTTACAATGGCACTTTTAGCCCCTCCCCTCCCCTGCTCGCCCCTCCCCTGCTCTCCCCTTCTCTGCTGTCCCTCCCCCTCTCTCCTCTCCCCTCCCCTCCCCTCCCCTCCCTTCCACTTCCTTCCACTTCCCTTTCTTTTCTTCTCTTTTTTCTTTTCTTTTCTTTGAGACAAGGTCTCACTCTGTCGCCCAGGCTGAAATGCAGCGGCTTGATCATAGTTCACTGCAGCCGCGAACTCCTGGGCTCAAGCAGACCTCTCACCTTAGCCTCCCAAATAGCTAGGACTACAGGTGCATGCCACCATGCCTGGCTAATTCTTTTGTTTTCATTTAATTGATGTACTTATTTTGAGACTTGCTCTCTTGCCCTGGGTGGAGTAGAGTGGTGTGATCGTAGCTCACTTGCAGCCTTGAACTTTTGTGCTCAAGTGATCCTCCCACCTCAGGCTTCTAAGTAGCTAGGACTACGGATGTAAGCCAGCATGCCCAGCTAATTCTTCGAAAATTTTTTTTTTCGTAAAGACAGGGTCTTACAAAAGGAAGGAAGGAAAAAAGGAAGAAAGAAGGAAAGAAAGAGAAAGGAGAGAGAGAGGGTGAGATGGAGAGAGGGAAGGAGTGGGGAATGAAGGGAAAGAAAGGGAAGTGAAACCTAGACAGAAAGAAGAGGAAGACAGGAGGAGAACTAGAAGGGGAGAGACTGGGAGAAGCAGAAAAATGTAAAAGACGAGAAATGGGCCGGGTGCGGTGGCTCACGCCTGTAATCCAAGCACTTTGGAGGCCGAGGCGGGCGGATCACCTGAGGTCAGGAGTTCAAGCCCAGCCTGACCAACATGGTGAAACCTCAGTCTTTAAAAAAAAAAAAGACAAGAAATGGCTGGGCGCGGTGGCTCATGCCTGTAATTCAAGCACTTTTGGGGGCCAAGGCAGGCAGCACCTGAGGTCAGGAGTTCCAGTCCAGCCTGTCCAACATGGTGAAACCCCATCTCTACTAAAAATACAAAAAATGAGCTGGGCGTGGTGGCGCATGCCTTTAATCCCAGCTACTGGGGAGGCTGAGGCAGAATTGCTTGAACTCGGGAGGTGGAGGTTGCAGTGAGCTAAGATCATGCCACTGCACTCTAGCCTAGGTGGAGAGTCTGTCTTGAAAAAATAAATAAAAATCATACATAAATAAATAAAAGACAGGAAATGACGGCGAGAACTGGTGTGAGGGACTAGCTAGTGGTGAGGGCTAACAAGGACCTGCTATGGACCTGGAACCAACTAGGGCTGACTATGAATGCGGCAAAGGAATTTGGGGGCGATGGAAATGTTCTGTATCTTGACTGTGGTGGTGGTTATATGAGAGTTGGCAAAACTTGAAAGCACCAGAAAGAGTGAACTTTACGGTACTGTATGTAAATTATACTTCAGGTAGCAGGAGGTAGCTCATACCTGCAATCCTAGCACTTTGGGAGGCTGAGGCAGGAGAATTGCTTGAGCCCAGAAGTTCGAGACCAGCCTGGGCAACACAGGGAGACTCTCCCT